TCACGCTGGGGCCGCCCGGCCGTGAACGCCCGCGGGGAGCGGAAGAAGGTTTGCTCCGGCTACGGAGCTGGGAGCAGGGTGCCAGTGACGGGGCTCCCAGCACCTACTCAGTACCCTTCACCCAACCCCTGCCTCGGGCATGGACTGCCGGGGGAGGCTCTGGGAGCCGGGCCGAGGGCTTGAGCCTAGCGTATTTGGGCGAACTGGAGGGAGGAGTCTCAGATAACTAAAGTCAGGGGCGCCGGTTGGAGAGCCGGTGGCTCCTCCGATGCTCACACGTCCCGATTTAAACAGTTCAGGGAGGGCCCAGAACCTAGACCTCCACCAGTCATGGTGGGCTGTGTCGCCCATCTCCCCGGGGCAACCCAGATCCAGCCCCCAATCTACTCCCGACCCATTCCTGTGTAGGCACCAGGACCCTACCCTTGCCCCACAGAGTGGCCGGCAGCCCCTGGCAGGGAGAACCAGGGCTCTGATTGGCGCCCAACAGAAACAGGCTATTCAGAAGGGCCTTCTCTCCTGAGGGACCAATCTCCAAGCTTCAGACTTCCAGGTACATGCTAGCAAGGGTACAAAGCCCGCAGTGGCAGACAGGAGGCGGGTCCCAGCTCAGCTGTGCCCTGGTGTGTGGCATGACCCTGAACATGACACCCACTCTCTGGGTCTCCGTTTCTGTATCTGGGGGCAGATGGCAGGATGGGATTCAGTCTGGAAATCCATGGGTGGTCACTTCCCCTTGGTGGGACGGGGCAGGGGTCTGCCTCCTACGGAGAGTGGTTGGGGAGCTCCTGCGTTCCTGACATCTCATCACGGTTTCTCCCCTCCTCAGGTACTGTGGCTCTGTGATGATCTCCCCTTTCCCTCCCCCATTCACCTGTCTGGGGCTTTAATTGAAATTAAAATCCTGTACAAAGTGCAGAGGACAGAATGTTAGAACTGGACAGACCCTCGGAAACCAGTTAATTATTCCCTGTGTTTCACAGACAAGTCCCAGGGCACGGATGTGACCCATTATGAACAGGCAGTGAGTCTGTGGCAGGGCTGGAGCTGCCCTGGGCTCTGGCATTATCCCCAAGGGCTGGAGCTCAGTCCTTACTACAGGCTTTTCTGGACCCCACGTCCGCAGGCAGGTGCATCTGATGAAGCTGTCGGCCACAGTGAGTCATGGCATAGCCAACGGGTGACGCAGCACGAGGCACCCCCCGCCCCCCTCCACTGTCTCTTGTGAGCAGAGTTAATCCCCAAGCTGGTGTTTCTTGGCGCCTTCGAGGTGTATTTTAAATTCTGCAAAGTGACTAAAAATATGCTTCAGCATGCTGGGTATGAATGACTGTGACGGGAGGGTTAGGAAAACAGATTTCATTCTGAAAGTTGCCTGCTGCCTCTTTCCAGCTTGCTGAGCTCAGGCCTGCAAAGGCGGATGGGGGGAGTTCCCCATGGTGGCCTGGCATGACAGGTGATTAACAAGCAAGGATACAGCTAGGAGCTCCATGGGGCTACAACCCAGTCCCAGCAATGATCCTCCTAAGTGTGTGATGGTGCTAGCAGGTGGACAGAGTCCAGCTGTGGGAGGCTGCCCAGCTGTGGAACTGTGTCTAGTGGTGAAGGAGGCACAACCACGGCTCTAGACCCAACCCCAGGGTCCCCTTCCCATGCCTCAAAACTCCTCATCGTTTTGGCCACAGTCCTGTACAGGGGCACACTTTCGGTCTTGACAGAAAGGGGAGCATTCTCTTTCGACTGCCTTCCCTTTTCACCACTGGGATGGTCCCAGAACAGGGGAAGAGGGTGGCATGAGCCTTTCAAACCTGGGGGACCTCTGGGCTGCCACCAAGCCAGCCAGCCATTCCCACTGTGTTTCGCTGGGGATCCAACTGAAAGGCAGTCTCTAGAATAGGTCCTTGTGTGGGATAAGGGGCCACCAAGGGCAGAGGGACAGGGAGGACAAGAAGCCCTTTCTGGTCGTGCAGCCCAGGACAAATCCCTGCAGCCTTCTGAGACGCTCTGGCACTATCCTGGGCCGTCAGACAGGACTGGTAGGGTTCTTTCCTCCGTCTCGCCAATGAAGAAACTGAGGCCCAGGGAAAAGAAGTCATTTGCCCAAGGTTGAACACCTGGTAAATGACAGCGCCTGGACTAAACCCAGGTGTGTCTGCCGTCTAATCCAGCACTTCCTCCACTGCCCCGCACGCTGCCTTCAGCCTGGGCGGGATTCTGCTTCCTCGTCAGTATAACAGGAGGCTGAACTCCGTGGCTAAAGGACCTTCTGATATTCATTCATTAGGTCTAGATCACAGCCTCAAAAACAAATGGGGGCCGGGTGTGGTGGCTCATGCCTATAATCCAGCACTTTGGGAGGCCGAGGTGGGTGGATCACCTGAGGTCAGGAGTCCGAAACCAGCCTGACCAACATGGTGAAACCCTGTCTCTACTAAAAATACAAAAATTAGCCGGGCGTGGTGGTGCGTGCCTGTAATCCCAGCTACTTAGGAAGCTGAGGCAGGAGAATTGCTTGAACTTGGGAGGTGGAGGTTGCAGTGAGCCGAGATCACACCGCTGCATTCCAGCCTGGGTGACAGAGTGAGACTCCGTCTCAAAAAAAAAAAGAAGTGGGGTGGGGGGCGGGGGAAGGAAAGAAAAAGAAAACACACACACACACACAAAGAAAAAAGTGGGGCACAGGACATTAATGGCCATTATTCGAAGAGCATGTATATTTGGGAAGTAGTGGGATAAACACAGAAAAGTAGGTTTCCTTACTCAGAGGCTTTTCAGAGCCTTTACTATGAGAATGGACACTCTGAATCTCCCAGAGGGAGATGTAGGATGCCACGTTCCCAGGTGTATGTGACCACAGAATGTCTTGCAAGACGAGAGCTCTGCAGGACACTCGAGAAATACTGGCCTAGAAAGCACTTGCTCCTCCCTGGCTGGTAATTGGGAGCTCAGCCCATATGCCCTCTGCCCATCCTCCCACATGGGAGTGTCTCCAGGGCTCAGGCCTCTGTTGCTTCCCTTCCCCCTTGGCAGCTTCTGCCTTGGCAGCCTCTCACCTAGGCCTGAACTTTACTTTTTTTGAAAAAATTTTTAAGAGGCAGGGTCTGGGCCGGG